TTCAATAGGTAGATATAGAACCTCTTTGGATTATTGCTTAGTAGAATCGAAAACTAACCTCTTGACACATTTAATGGCAAATAAAATATGCTGGCCTTAACCCGTTCCTAAATAGCCATAGAGCCAAATTGGACAAGAATGCCGCAATAGTAAAAAAAATATCTTATACAAACATGGTGATTCCAGCCAAAACAGTGGTTTGTTATAAATAAAAAATCCCCTTCACTGGCACTGCCCCAAAAACAAGGGCGTAAAGTATGCGGGGGTTATCGAGCCGGTAGGGGTGGGCGGTAGTAAGGGAGAAATAGGGAGCAATGACGTCACGCCTTCGACCCGCCAGACTGCCGCCGAAACCGCCGTGCCAGTGTTGTTCAAGCCTTGATCAATCGCGGCCAGATGAAGTCTTCTTGGCTGAATGAGCACAAATACCTTAGTCCGTGAATGAAAAAGTTATAAACGTTTTATTTTACTAAAGTTCTACATTTGAATTAAATACAGATAATAGATGATTTGTTTTATTTTTTCGAGTTAAATTCAAAGTACAGGTCGTCTTGTAGTTTGTATATAAAATGTTTGTAAGTGTGAAGAAGTTTCTTTTGTTTTCTTATATTTTTGGAAGCTTTGCCTAAGGTGAGCGTCGTCTGTAGACTTTAGTTTGTGTGATTTGTTTTATGCTTTTTGTTTTACATGCCAATTGTAGCAGTTACATCCCATTTGTAGTTAGTATCATAATTAAGTTGTATACTAAAATGCCAAATCAGTTTTATGTAGTTTTATCAAAGTATGTATTGTTTTACTAAAAATATATAGTAATGTTATATTGGACGTTTTAAATTTACTTAAATTACTATTTTTTATTTTATTTTATGTGTATTTGTATTGTACTTTATGAAATTGATTTTACATTACATTACAAATTTAATTGGCTATCAAGAAATTTGTTAAATGTTTTCTTAAATATTTTCCAGTTTATAACAAAATTTGCACATTGTACCAGGATTACCTATCTTATAAAACTGACAAAACAGTTACAGCATGAATATGATAGTTTTTGTTTTATTTTATAAATTATTTGCAAAAAACTTGTTCCAAAAACATAATTTGAATTTAAATAATAACTCTATGCTATATTTAAAAATACGATAACCAATAGTGAGTGTTCTAATTTTAAACTCTATGAAGTTCTTAGAAGTGAAATTTTTTAGACGGGATGGTCGATAATACCGATCATGCACGGGAATTGAGTGAAATTTTAAGAAACATTTCGTTATATGAAAGAGAAAATACATTATTATATCCTAGACAAAACTATGAAAAGAGGTGCGTATATCTTTAAGAAAAATTCACTTCTATTACGTGAAAGATTCTGTACGCATAACTTTTTTTACTGATGTAAGTCAAATGTTTTTTTAAAGAGTTGTTCTTGATTCAAATTGTGGCATTTGGTACTAAGTAAGCCCTTTATGCAAGCATGTCTGTCTGATTTCTTATCTGTTTGTGTGTCTCGCATTGCATGCAGTCGGCACGTCTCATCATCGACAAATGACAAACTACAAGCCCTTGGTAAGACACCTTAAGTATTGTTTTTAGTTACTTGCTTGACAAATGTTTTGTATATAATTCACTAATTATTTAAAAAATATCTTATTTTTAAACCAATATGATGTACGACATCGATTAAAAGTTTTTTTTAAATACTTACTTTAAACATAGCTACTTTTAGATATTATACACAAATTATCTTCGCTTTTACAATTAATATACTAAGGTGCCATAAATAGTTAGCTCATTATGACTCGACTTTAATACAGATTAAAATAAGTTTTTTTTTTATATATAAAAATTGAACTTGAAATTGTACATTTTCTAGGAAAAAATTTTTGAAACAAAATCTACAGTAGGTATATGCTAAATTGCAATTTGCATTTTGCATCAATATTGTCCGTGTGGTGACGGATTAAGAACACGGATTGTCACCACACCCAATCATCCGTATAAGCCGACTAAGGGAGCAAACTACGCAGGACAACAACACTGCAAAGAGAAGGAAACTTGACACAAACCCTATACCAACCCGTCTGGCCAGCGTGGCATAGTAGGCCAAAACCTCCTTTCTAAGGAGAGGCCTATGTCCTGCAGTGGACTGTTAAAGGCTGTTGATGAATGATGATGAATCAATTTCAAAATGGTTTAATTTTCTATATTTAAACTAAAAAAAGGGTGTTTATCGAATGCAAACAAAAGCAGTTGTACCTAATTTATTTATCTCATAACCTCATTTTTGGACTTCAATCTGACAGTAACTATTTGAATTTAAATTCTTGTTCTTAAAAAAAACTGATCCTTATCTATAGAGGAAAAAAGTAACTGCATTAGTGCAAGACGTTGCGGGCATGCGCGCGCAATCGAGTAGTCCTGCGGTGGCTCCGTCCATTTATTTGCGTTACTAATAAAAAGCTACCTTGCTTACGAATATAAAAGTTGACGATCTACACTATGGCACGAATAATTTACCTTCGATGTCTATGGTGCAATTTGTTTAGTTATTAAACAAATTTTTTTCCTCTTCTCTATTGTTCTGCCAAGACGTGTCGTACATATGCGTATAGGTACTAGTTTTTGGTAAAAAGTAGGCTATGTCTTTCTTCAAGAATCAAAGAATCTTCATACCAAATTTTATCTAAATCGGTCGAGCGGTTATTGATTCCCTATAGAAACAAATGATAGGATGAATGCAAATTGGGCATCTATAGCGATAGTGACAATACACACAGTAACAGTTGGATGCTTTTTTTTCAACGCTTTCACAGCTCACCGGGTCTAGACATATCAATGATCTGATATTGGAATTAAATATTTAATTCTTGTAATCATTGTGTTTTGGTAGTGTTAGACGATATTGAACCTAAAAAGTATCGTCCGTTGCATATTATTAATGATATTTATTTGTTTTCATTAATTTAATTAATTATAACACAATGTAATTCGAAGTAACTTTTTAAAGAACAAATCGTAAACTATACATGTGTGTAGTGATTATGAGGGAGTATTTTTGGTGTCGATCTTTAATGGTGAAACAGTATATTTTAAATACGTCTGTTGGAAACCATATTTTCGATTTCATCATAGCTATATTGCCTTAGCCAAGTGGATAGTTCCTTTTTAAATTTATAGTACACTCTTTGCAGTCCTTCTGGTAAATTTTAGACGCTAAAACGTCAAAGTGATAATATAAGTATTAGTCTTATCCCAAAATAATAATGAACATACGTACATACATACAAAATACTATTATGAAGCAAAATCATTATAAAGGTACATTGGATAACATACGTACAGGATGTAAGAAAAGTACCGGAAGAGCAAAATAATTCGCTAAGGATGCATTTTTCGGAAATACGTTAAACACAAAAGTTACAGGAATTTTCCCTGGCTATCCATTAGTGACCTTGAAATTGACTTTGATCCCAATCTTGACGTTTATCTTGGGGACCAAGGGCAGTTTTCAAATGGGATTGCGTATTTTTGAGGCCGGAATTGAAAAGTACGCTAATTTTGACCCCTAGAGGTCACCAAATGTCAATTATAGATTTTTTAAGCGAATAAAATGTTATTTTATCTACAAATAGACCGTGCATCTGTTTACTCGATATTTAAGTAAAGGCATTTTATTTTCAACAATATAATCAAATAACAAGCTTTAAAAAGTTCAATATTTCAATTTTGGTGGTTTCATTTCGCTGACGCAATTTTGAGAGAAACATATGATTCTTCACGTGTGCGTTTCTTAGAACCTCGACTAATTTCGGCCTTGTTTGGTTTCTTTTTTATTTATCTATCTTGTTGTACTCAAACATAATTCGGCTCGAAGGACCATTTCTTCATAACAAGACACTTTTAATTTAATTGAGAACGACATAACTTTGAATGGTATTAGCTACTAAGTTGAGTTAAAATATAACCTATAACTTGTCACTTATTTTAAGATACTATACTGTATTATCTTATAGTTTTAGTTGAGTATGATTCAACGCCCTTTCCCGAAGTTTAAATGCTAAATACAAATATGCTATGCGTATACACAAATATGTATACAGTGCGATGAACTATTTTTTCAGTGTCTTGATTTTTATAGATACTGCTTTTATGAAATAAGCAATCCATTGCAAAGAGACCTATATAAATATATACTCGTATTTACTTCTTTGATGAAACATAAATTCCACATATAAATACCCACCAAAAAAAACACGAATATATAGCTTTTTAATTAACAATCAAAGTTGCGTTCATTAAATAGACATTGTACGCATTACTCAACTAAAATGTTGGCCCAGCTTAGTTTGTAGATTTGTTTTGAAAACCTTCAGATCTAAAATAGACCAAAATGGCTGTTTGTTGATTTTAACGTTTTACAATCATATATTCCCGTCTTATATTACTAGAAGTACTAGTTTTGATTCTAAATGTGTAGTTTACTAAATAATGCCCCTGGTATGGCTCGCGTATGGCATGTTTCCAACTTCACGAAAAATCACGAATTTTTGTGCAACCCCTTCCCCCCTTCCCTTTCTCCTCAAATCTCTTTGTTTCCCTCTTAGGGGTAACGTTTCTAAATACCCTTTCTTAATGTAGTAGATAGTAGTAGTAAGTGAAGTATCAGAATTAAGGTAAAAGGGGGGCTCCGGTACCCTCAGCCTCTGGGTGAAAAGCAACGAAACAATTGTTAAAGTTGTCTGTGAAAAATACTTTGGGAAAAAAGTTAAAAAGTTCGGACAATTTTTGTACTACATATTATCAGATGTTACGTTACCTGAGGTATGGTCAGGCGTAATCATTTATGTTAACCATGTGCAATCATGAATAAATAAACCTTGAAACGCATTTTTAGCAGTCTAAGTATCGTGAGCGCTAAAACAGCTTTGTAGTAGCTAATCTGAAATATGTACATTATAATATATTTTAAGAGTTACCTAAATGTGTGTGATTTAATTTTTCAGGGCTCAGCGGATTCGAACTACTCCCAGCCATCGTCGGAGCTGTCGATTGACGACGACAAGGAGGCGCTGCGCCGCGAGAAGGAAGCGCAAGCACTCTCACAGCTGGACAAAGCGAGGGTTAGTTAGTTAGTTAGTAGAACACAAGAACACCCAGACTCAGAACAACAATTTGTGGATCACACAAAGTGTTGTCCCATGTAGGGATGGAAACCATAATACTCAATGCAGTAGGAAGCGGCTAGTTGACCGCTTAAACCACTACGCCATCCGTGCCTCCATACTCACACATGTACACTACCTTGTACATGTGTGAGTATGGAGGCAAGGATGGTGTAGTGGTGCCTGACACTGATATAGCTTCACATCCTGATAAAAGACTCCAATCGGGACAAATACACACGGGGCAATCTTATATATTTAATTACTATGTCTAGTTACTACACATAAAAAGAAAAAAAAAAGAACTACAATTTATTTAATTAGAAAAGCTTTTCATCATCATGATCATCAACAGCATCTCAACCGAAAGACGTCCTCTTCTGGACATAGGCTACCTCCAAGATTCTTCTGCCCGTGACTTTCACCAGATCGTCAAACTACCGAGTGTGTGGTACCCATGTTCCTTTTGCGAAGCTTTTCATTATTAGCAAAAATGTATCTAAGAGAGTATATCATTCAAACATATTTACATACTCGTATGAGCCGGCTCGACCGGAGTGATACCACGGCCTCATAGAGAACCAACGACCTGGTGAAGGTTGCGGGAAACCGTTGGATGCGGGCAACACAGGACCGGTTGTTTTGGAGAGCCTTGGGGAGGCCTATGTCCAGAAGGGGACGTCTTTCGACTAAGATGATGATGATATAATAATAAGTAAGAACTTTTTTATTGTAATTGTGTTTATTTCTTTCTCCACAAATTACATTCTTGTGTTGCTCACATATTTCATCACATATCAACTTTACATCATAATACACAAGGCTAGTAGAGATAAGAATAAACATATTGACATGATTTTCTTGTTTTTGCTCATGTCAAAAGACATGTTTTTGCTCATTTACACTTCACGGAGTAAATCATTCTTTGATGATAACATGTGCAAACAGGGGCAAAAATAACGTTGGACCTGATCCACCTTATTCTGAACATATCACTACTTTTGACTATTATATTCTAAGATGTACTTAGAATATAATAGTCAAAAGTAGTGATAAATTGAGCATTTAACTGTTTTACCTGCACTTTAAAAACTTAGAAAAAACTTTATTTATACAAAAAAATGGCTGTGGTGCTAAACAAATGTATGATATGTTACTTTGACAAGCACAGCAAGAATAATCGTATATTCTTTTAAGAACTACTATCATTAGTATGATGCTCTTGAAAGTAATGAAATAGGTTTTGGAGGGGTAAGGCTATATCAGGCGTGCTTGCCTGATGTACTGTGACGATAAGACTACGATGGGCAACGTCTATCCAAGAGAAACTAATTCAATCTATCCAAAAACGTGCCATGATAATCATGGAACGTGAATTTCATTATGAAATTAGAAAAAAACAGTTATCAGATTCAGCAAGTACAAAACGTATCATTAAAGTCTTATGGTCCCTCCTACAAACCTTATTAACAAAAAGTTATTTCAAATTTACAAAACACACCACATTTAGATGACACTCTTATTTTCAAATTAACTGTAATTTTAAATCTTCCATTTGATAGTTGACTAAATCTTGCTATGATTTGTTTCCAGTCGAAGCCAGTGGCGTTTGCAGTCCGCACCAACGTAGCTTACGATGGAACGGTCGACGACGACTCGCCCGTACACGGCAGCGCCATCTCATTCGAAGTGCGCGACTTTCTCCACATCAAGGTAATATATACCTGAATATTATTGCATTAGATCTGAAATGGATCTTAAATAATGAAATTTCTAATAATAAACCACGAGATAATAATAATTACTTCACCCATCTCTTGACACAGCCGTCTGCACCCAAACAAGTCAGAGACTGCTGATGAGCATACTTATATATTTCTAAATAAATTACCCTCAGACACAGAACAAATATCATGATCATCACACAAATATTTGTCCTGGGTTTGTATTAGAGATTTAATATTCACATAAAAGTTTGAGTAAATCAATTACTCTTTTCGTGTTGATTCGAGTTTTTGAATCGGTCTGACATATTTACCATGTCAGAATATCTGGAAGATTACTTAAATGCACTATTTGTTAAAACTTATCTATTATAATTAGACCAGTCGTATTATAGCCCTTTTTACTAAAGTGCAAGCATCCCTGCGTATCTTTATACATTTGCATCTAAGGTTTTGGAAGTCAAAAATGATATAGCGAAACCCTTTGACAGCGTCACACATGGTCTTCTTCTGTTTAAATCCTTCGTAGGCTTCGCAAATAGGCTGTTCGCCTTTACCGTATACGTAACGGTTGCATAAATGTACATTTTGGAGTACCACAGGGCTCTCATTGATCCCCAGCATAATTTCTGTATACAGACGCGGATTATAGCATCGCTGATATCTGATTATGCATTTTAAGTCAACACAGTCTAAAAAGCCGATAAATTGATATTTCATCCTCGTCTCATCATTTCATCCATGAGAGAGCAATTAACAGCCTTATCAGAATCGATTCACTCGGACAGAAACATAACCCAACTAGAACTATTCACGATTCGCGAACGTCGTATCGATTACAGGAGAAGTACGACAACAACTGGTGGATCGGGCGGCTCGTGAAAGAGGGCGCAGACATCGGGTTCATACCTTCGCCGGTGAAGTTGGAGGCGGTGCGGACGGGGATGGGCGTGCGGCGCGCGCGCCCCCCCTCCACCGCGCCGCTCGCTTCTCACGCAGCGCACGCGCCCGCGCCGCCGCTCTCCAGAGGTAGCACCCCCCCCACGCCCGGTACGTCATGCATACCTCATAGCCGCCATACCCACTACATGTTGCGTACACGCGCTATAGCGGATACTTACACACTCACAGTTTTTGACAGCTATCGGTTTGTATATCTTCCTTTCTTACGATCGGGAGAGCAAATTCTAATACTCCATGAAATAAATGATTATTATTAGAATTTGCGCTACACTTATTAGGGTATTTATGGTGTTAATATATAATGAGCCTTTAATCATTGCCTCTTAAAATTCTCTTCAAGCCTTAAAATTTTGCCTATTATGCTACTCTGGCATGTTTTGTTTCAAATATATCTCACCGGCTTCTTCCATTTTTTGTCCTAATTTCGTTTAATGGCTTGCACTTTGTATATTTCAGTTGGATGCTCTGATTTCTTGCCATCCATATCTTAACTAGCGTATACGATAGTTGTCAAAAACTTGAAGTGGAACTACTTGAACTATGAAAACTGCAATACCGCTTTCTGCATTTAGCACTTAAAAGTTTTCATAGTTTGAGCTGATACAAAACTAACCCCTTTGGCGTAAATAAACAAAAAATTGATGAAATTATTAAATACCTTTAGTGGTATTGTTAAGTTAACTGACCAGATGCCAGAAGCTTGATCATACATAAGATAAAAGGATATAAAGATCTTGAATTAAAAAATATAAAAGCCTTGTTACCTATACAATTGGATACCCATGGCGGCTATTAAATAATAATCTGATCGGTAGATCATCGTTATTCCAATTTTTGCAAGAGCATTGAAAAATATCTAATTCTTTCCGCAAGTCTTTAGAAAAGTACTCGTCATATTTCTACAGAAACAAGTTCTTTTAAAATACATGCAACATTCAATTATTTAACTCCTGCGGTTCAAAGTGAAGGCTTTTCTTCAATAAGATGAAATAACGATGAAATTAAACTTAAGAAAGTAGATAAAAAATTTGTAGGTAAACATTCTACCTATTGCGTTTTAACAAATATATTTTTTATAAGTTTAGGTTGACTCAAAATCAGCGAATGTTTAACAAAAGCATTTTTAACCGTGGGAGAGAGAGAGAGATTTTAATTTATGTTATACTTATGAAGGAATACGACCAATTCTTTGGGTGATTAACTTTTTGCATTGCATTGCAAATTGTCAAGAATATTATGCCGTTTAATTTATACCAAATTTTTCCTGGAGTTCAGTTTGAAGACTGCTAGGTGCAGATTCTCATTATTTTCTAAGATCATAACCCAGAAACCCAAAAACTAAAACGAAACCTCTTTCTATTGTCAACTAATTATTATTATTATTATTCTATGACTACAACAAATGTAGCTTAATTATAAAATGTATGCCTGGTCTATCTTCTTTATTCATTGTAGGTATTTGGGCCAATAAAAAATATTGTATTAAACAATTCATTACATCAAAATTACGTTTTACTATTGTCTATCGTCTTTTCTAAGAACTTATATTAGATCTATTGAGTTTTCTATGTACGCTTTTGATACTGTCTGTATTTATGTCTTTTTATCTTGTGTCTGTAATGTACAACGCAGTTGTTTATCTTTTTTCTATTCTAAATCGCCTTGCTCTTTTTAACTCTGACTTGCTACTACAAAAATCACAACAGTTTTAATAAATTTTAAAAAATCTTGAAAAGTAGGGTTATGTTGATGTGTAGTCGTGGCTCAATGTTTGTATAATTAACATTCGTCTCTTTATTTATATATTTTATTATATTATATTATATACTTTATTAACACTTTTTTTAATATTTTACTATTTCTTTTTATTATTGGCTGATTTCTCTTTCAACTTGGTAAGCTATTTTTGTATGGTAAAAAATTGACAACAACAAAATTGAAGAATTCTTTGAAATCAGTAAAGATACAAAATGACGAATGAAAAGCTTTTAAATGCCTTAGTAAAAGGCACAATTCAAATTAACATGGTGGGCACCATGCTAATTTGGTTTCGATAAGGTGTGGTGACGGATTAAGAATACAGAGCATCACAACCCTTATTAATCCTGTGGATGTCGTAAGAGGCGACTAAGGGAACAAACTACGCAGGACAACAGCACTGCAGAGAGAAGGAAAACTTGAAACAAACCCTATACCAACCCGTCTGGCCAGCGTGGTATAGTAGGCCAAAACCTCCTTTCTAAGGAGAGGCCTGTGTCCAGCAGTGAACTAGTAAAGGCTGTTGATGTGAAGGTCCGCTCTCCCATCGACATCAATTTTTTGATTTGGTCGATACTTTAAAGATGTTTTTATTTTTATTTACTTATATTTGTGGCTGAATGTAATAATACATCTGTGGCTGTCAATGGATACACAAAATGATTTTAATTATTTTCTATTAAATAGCAATCGAAATATCGCATCCCTTATCTCTTTTTTTTACTAAAAAAATGTTTACTAAGTATGGTATGTATAACTGCTTTGTACTATCACCATATATCACGACATCATTACTGTTTTGGTGAAATTTGCTAAAATTTCCTGGTTTTTTATAAAGATGTACCGATTATTGACTGATTAGTCGACTAAATATATGTGAAAATCTTTTTTAATTAATTTTTTTTAATCGATTTTTTTTAAACGTTATTGCAATGGCGTCAATGATAAACAATTCAATATTAGTATTTGCCTCTACTGTCTTCTTTAGACTGTTACAGCCATATACATTTGTTGAAACTGGTCAGTCTGAAAATATCGAGTTTTAACTTTTATAAAATAGTCGATACATCGTCTAATATATCTTTCGCACTCACGTTTGCCACATTTTCAGATGGGCCATCATTCGATCGAGGTAAGCCCGCACACCTATTGCTCGGCACCAGGAAATGTTGTAAATTGTCACCACTCTACAAATTTACTAGATGTTACCCTCTATTTTGGTTCAGTTACTTCTGAATAGATATTTCTTGTAAATGCAATGTTGGGGTTTAAGTTTTGAAAGTTTTGGTGTAATCCTTCTTCCTTTATTAATTTCAACAGTTTAAAACTTCTTACATCATCGACGCTGTGATGGTGTAGAGTCCCAAATTCTTGTAACATCTTGTATGTCAAAGCATTACCATCCCATAACCCATTATACGCATGTCTCCTTTTGGTAGCATTTTTTTTAGTTTAATATTGTATTTCGATATTTTTCTTTCTTTAACATTTCTTGGTGTGTTTACAGGAACTTTTCCACCTAATAGTTATTTATTTATTGAATCGTATAATTCTGATCCACTTGAAAAATTGCTTGCTTATGGGTCCATGGATTTGAAATTTGATCAAGTAATAGGTGAAAAGTAGAAAAAAACTATGAACTGAAGTAATTTTAAATGTAAATTGTGAGCCAATAATGATGGTCTTTTTCTACTTTCCAAGCTCCTGACTTGTGCTGCTGATATGATTACTTGTTGTGTATGGTAGATATATGTTGCGGTATGGAGTACACTTAGCAATTACCTTTTGGATGTAAATGTAAAAGCCCGAAGTTGATGGACGTCCTTTACTACTTGATGTGCAAAGCATGTTCAAATCCGAAAAATTATTGTGGGTCTAATGGGTATAGGAATAAAAATATAGTAACTCTCCACTGTGTTATGACTAAGGATACAAGGGGTATTGTGGGATAATTTTTAGAAGAAAATCTTGAAAAGCGTGTTGAGTTATGAAATTAACCAACAGTCCATTTCGATTCCAGGGGAAGAATCAGACGGAGCAGGTAGAGGCCGCGGGGCAGGCATGGCAGGGGGCAAAGAAAAACGCAAGCCTTTCTTCAAAAAGCCAGAAAACTATAGTCCTTATGACGTGGTCCCTTCAATGCGCCCTGTAGTACTAGTGGGGCCCAGCCTTAAAGGATACGAGGTCACAGATATGATGCAGAAGGCGCTGTTTGATTTTCTCAAAAGACGGTTTGAAGGAAGGTGAGATTTACTAACAAAAGTTACTTTGTAGCAAAGGACAACTGTAATGTAGTTATTACAATATAATGTAATTACTGTAGTTATTAAAATTTTAATTAAATATTATTTAAAATAAAATAGACACAATTTATAAAAAACCAGCTTTTACACGGCGTGCATTGAAATTCCACGTAAAGTATAAACTAATAACGAAAAAACACCATTTATAAGTAGTTTTTTTGGGTCTCGTGGGCGTCCTCAGAACACCCTACAAAAAATTCACTACAATGTGATCAATGGAACGCATAGAGAAGAAAAACATACAAAGATAGATTTTTATTTATAACAAATAATTGCGAAGGATCTCCGCCAGATCACGGCTTATGTTAGTCCATGACAGTTTTATGTATGATACCAAAAACATTATTACCTAAAAATCCGTACCAATATGTACGGAAATGATTCACATTCATTTTCTTCAAGATGAAACTCCTATTGTGATTTAAATGTAGAAGACCAATCCACATCTGTACCACAGAGACTTACGTTTTTAGAGCTGGTAAGGATTTCAACGAGGAGGCCAAGAAAATAAGCAACGAGTTCTTACCATGATAATTTTTACATCTAAGCGAGCTTCCTGCTACTTTTGTAGCAAAAAAAGCTTAAAAAAGGATAAGATTGTTTAAAACAGACCAGAGACTTGAAAGTGTTTAAACACCGCATCGCTACCTGATGGGTAGTAATTTCAATTGCTCATAAATATGATTAGAAGTCGAAATTATAAAATAGCGTTGCCTAGTTCAACAAAAGTTAAAGTTTTACAAAGATCTTCTCTAGAATCGAGAAGCAAGGTATGAAATCAGAAAGAGAAAAAAAACGAAAGTCAGATTACAGTTACGAGTAAAAAACAAAAACATCAGAAGAATTTCGGAAATGAGCTGCGACATCCTGGAAATAGCCAACTTTTGTTTAAATTACCAGTTACAGTTGCAGCAGAGAACTTATTTAATTAAATAATTTAACCGTTCCTAAATATATTACGTAATAAACTAAATTGTATTTCTTCCAGTAAATCTACGAACTAAAATACTAACAATTAACCAAAAATCACAACAAACTAACATTGCAGGATTATAATAACGCGTGTGATGGCCGACATATCTCTGGCCAAGCGCTCTCTGCTCAACAATCCATCGAAACGTGCCATCATGGAGCGTTCCAACTCGCGGTCCACTTGCCTCGCTGAAGTACAGGTATGCATGTTTCAGGATCATCATCACCAGAGTCACGGCCGACATTTCATTGGCCAAACGAAACCAAAACCCGCCAAAGAAACCGTTCGTTGAGAGGGCTGGTAACAGGAACTGTATAGCTGAGGTCCAGGTGCGAATGTTCACTTCTGTAGGTAGTTATGGTGTTGTTGTATGAGGCACGTTGGTTAAATTGGGCGTGTTTGGAATGAGAAGCCCTATAGTGGCAACAACGATACTGCAACTAATTGAGGACGAATTGAGCTCATAGGTCGTAGATTATCGGTTTTGTTATCATTATCAGCCCTTAGAAATGTATTGGACTGTATGGATAAACAGTTATGGTATTCAAATCTTAGTTTACGTTCAAATGAAAAAAAAATCTCAAACACGTGAATTTTAAATAATACCACAATAAGTTTCGTATATTGTTAGAATGATTGTAGAAAACAATCTATGCTTTTAGAAATTCAGAACATCTACATCAACTTACACTTTAAGTGCCATTGCCACGTACCCATTTTAGAATCAAAATACTTTATAGAACTACATGACTCTCTCGATCCAAACATGCTCATGTTGTATTTAATGGCCATTGTGGTTAGTATTTAGCAACTAACAGGTATTTTGAAAAGTAATAATACAATTCCCATGTTTTATGAAACTGGAGAACTATTCATTCGCAGTACTCGTACATAAAGAGCAATACAATCATACAAGATTCATATCCTTATCATAACATCTTGCTGTGAATTCATCATGGAACACAACACAATTTCTTTTTCACAACGTTCACTTAATTTAAATAATAATATTTGAATTTGTCATCCTGACTGTCTTTTTCATAAAAATATGGGACCAAGCATGCTTCCTTGAAGGACCCCGTTTTAATAATCCAACCAATCGGGAGCTGTTTGCATGAAATTTACTAATATATCTATGAATTAAACAATCTTATTTAAGATGTTAAACATTCGTGCCGATATTTTCGGTTTGTAAGGTATTATAAGGTCTTGTCTCATTAATGTCAGAAGCAGCGAATGCATCTTGGTAATCACCATCTGAAAGAAAGATATGCTGTTGATATACAAGTTGACTTACAACTATACAAAATGAATTTATTTACTAATATTTTTATAGACATGTTTAAACACATGTCTATAATGACACATTCAAACTTTTATAATTTACCGCCTGATAACCCTTCGATAAATTGGTGTTTTAAAACGCTTGTCAACAAATAATCAGTTTATTACAGCTTAGCTTACGAACGCTTGTTACTGTTATGTACTTAAAAAATATTAATCAATGTTATATCACATCATTTATTTGTATTGTTTATAACTTTTTTTCACTAACACCATCAGGCTGAAATTGAGAGGATATTCGAGTTGGCGCGAACTCTTCAGCTGGTTGTGTTAGACTGCGACACGATCAATCACCCCTCGCAACTTGCTAAGACTTCACTCGCACCTACTATAGTATATCTCAAGATATCCAGTCCTAAGGTGAGCTTATTTTAATACTTATCACACATTCATTTTATTTACCTTTTTAAGAAACAAAAAGAACTAAAAAGTATACATTTTTTTAAATAATATGTATAAGAAATGAGATTATTAATTTACATCATTTGAATTACGTAATTGGTATACAAATGACGTAAACCAAGTTTGAATCATGTTGTTTTGTCATGTTTTAAAGTCAAAAGCAGAATATTGATTTTGGACTATCATCATCATCAACAAAAGCCTATAATAGCATCTGCTGGACATAGGCCTCTCCTTAGAAAGGAGGTTTTGGCCTACTATAAAACGCTGGCCAGACTGTTTGATATAGGGTTTGTTTCAAGTATTCCTTTTGGACTATAATAGGTTTAATATTATTGGTAATAATACCTACTTGTTTTTTTGTAATAAATTTACTAACTGTACCTAATATCATATAGGTCGGCTGGGAGAAAAAGCCTACGGCATTAAGTCCGCTTTTGTCCCATTTGTGCACAAAGCATAAATAAATTACAAGTGATGATTTATACACTAAAAATTTCAGGTATTACAACGACTGATTAAATCCCGGGGCAAGGGCCAGAGTAAAAATTTATCAGTTCAGATGGTGGCCGCAGAAAAACTATCGCAGTGTCCGTTAGATATGTTTGATGTCGTACTTGATGAAAATCAGTTAGAAGAGGCATGTGAACACATTGCTGAATATTTAGAGGTAAGCTTATATCTAATATATAAAATTCTCGTGTCACAATGTTAGTTACCATACTCCTCCGAAACGGCTGGATTTTTATGAAATTTTGTGTGCACATCGGGTAGGTCTGAGAATCGGCCAACATCTATTTTTCATACCCCTAAATAACAAGGGTAAATATTTTCTAAAAATAATGTATATGGCAAAACAACGTTTGCCGGGTCAGCTAGTATTGTAGAAAGTAATATTACATCTGTTTACGTTTAGTCTTTGTTTGAAATTTCAAATTAATATAAATAGATAGTAAAGCAATGGCTGACTTTGTTCTTCAAAACTCCACTTATGATAAATGAATGAAATAAGTAATGAAAAGCGTGAATTACCATTTTAACAAGATTATTTAATTTTACAAATTTTGTGGGACTCAGAAAAGAACCTAGTGGCACACCTTGGTATACTCTCGATTCAATTTAAATTGATGTGAGTATCTTATATCGGATATCTTGGTGTGAGTGAAATTCCTCTACATGCAGTTCCTCTGCAGTTAAATGAAATGTGCTAGTAAATGGAACTCCACATTTACTGGATCGATTTAGTCGAAAGTTTGACCAATTATCAATTCCCGTAATCCAAAAATTAGAATATGTCAAAGAACATTTAATTTAAGAAATAAGGTTACTTGTTTTGCCAATTTAGAAAATTAAAAAGAATTGTCCTACTGTGCCTCGTATAATATGAATGTTTTAGAAACCATAGCGAAAGCTCTGCTAAGTTGTGGTCGTTTACTAATATAAGTTTCATACAACAAGCGTTATAAATACTTTTAAGTACATGCTGATATTTTGCAACCGTATTCTTATGATTTGCAGTCGTACTGGCGCGCCACGCACCCCACGCAGCAGGCCGACGCTCCCCTGGCGCGCCCCCTGCCGCACGCGCACCCCGCGCACGCGCACGCGCAGCCCGGTGAGTTCCACACACACGCACATACACCACATCTCACACCACACACGCAGCAATTACCTCTAGGTACCAAAGCAATCAACTATTCATAAATTCTCTCATATAATTTTTTTCCCATCCTATTTATGGTTGATACGATTTCCTTTAGACCTTGCATCTAATTTTACTAGAACTACACATTTTACGACTGGAGACAGTAATGTTTCTTGGTGCCCTTTTTCATCCATCCATGCCGTTAAGTATATTTCATTAAAAGTGAAATTCGACAGACTTTGTTCAATGGACTATTAGTAGTAACTTCTCTATTTTGTAATCATATTGTAATCAATTATTTTTAAGAAAAGCAAGCTCACACAGATAGCTGCTTCTCTATGTTTAACGCTTACAAACCTGCAACTTAATTTAGATGTTGTAATAGAATTGTTACTTAGACGATGTAATTATTTATACTTAAATTTTTTAAACCACACCTAACAAGAAATATTTACTATTCCTGATTGTTTACTCGTAATTTTTCTGTATCTTTTAATAAAAGTTGCTTTGAACTTATCCATTGACAATTTAAGATAGATGACATAAAGTATTATCTACCACACTCCAAATAGTTCTATATTAGTATTCGATTCAATATATTCAGTAACGCCAAGGTATAAGAAGCTATCTACATAATTGATGTACATGACACCAATAAGACACCTTTATTTTTAAAAGAACCCTTGTTTATTCCACTTGTGTAACCTTGTACTGCAATATTTTGATCCCCCTGCACACCCTGGAGGGCACCGTGAGAGATCAGACTCGTATAACTACGAAAGAGAGAAAGGTAACTGGTACTGTCTTGTATTTTCTTGGTAATAATTTAAATTTTCAGCAAAAATAATTCAGTCTGAAACAGTTTTTAGAAACATGTTACTCAATTTAAACTTAATAATTATAAGGACGTATTTAATATTTATTGCGATACAGTGATAATTTTATAAGCTATTTTAATCAATAATACATACATGATATTATCATTTTGCCCATTTTTATATACATACATTTCCGATGTATTGTTAATATCATAGTCATTAAATTTTGTCATCATCTTTCTTAAATGTCTACTAATATCAAAGGTACAATGCCGAACTTCTTCTTGTATTACCTACAATTTTGGTGTCAATATAAAATATTGTTTTGTACGCCATATTAAGTGCTACAAAACTAAAAACTTGTGATATAAAAGCTGGGCTGAAAGCTGATTAATATATAAGTCGGTGATTGTACCCTAATTAAATAAAATATTAATGTTGTACTAGATGTTGTAGCCCCTCACGACTACGGAACGTCAGTCACGACACTGACAAACCCTGTTCGTTTCAGTACAAGCGAAGGGGCAGGCCTACTAACAGCCGAGCCGAAGATTAAATTCCAGGTGTTTGTTGTCAGGCGCTCCAGCATCCGTCCAGGTTGCATACACTTTCTAGCGTCCCTATCCCTCTAACTGCTTGAACGCTTAAGGGTGACGCTTAAACTAATTTCTTTGAAATTCACGGAATTTGCCGATGAATTCCACTAGCTTACACTAACAGCGTTGAGAATGGACGCTAACTGTTTGATATAAAATGTGCCTTTAAAGGAGTTTTTCGTTGTAGGCCTACAATTGGTTATTTTATTCAGCCAATTTTTTTTGTCGGACATGTTAAAATGTAATCGAAATAAGTTTTGTTCTTTATCTCGTTTTGTGGGCCTCTCATCCTATTAACGTATAAAATTTCTCTGAATCTTGAACATCTTGTGTTCCTTGCGACAACATAGTTATTCCCTCTCACTCCCAACTCGACTCTTTCGCCGCATCATCTACGTCACGTCAAGCATACAGGTGTGTATCCCCGGGGTGGCACGAGCGACAATTTCACGTGAAATGTTCCACAGTGTCGTCGTCCCCTACACTACAAGCCGCCGCTCATTCGGTGATCCCGGTTCCGGGTATAGTGCGCAATTCTGGCGAGATCATCATGCAGACTTCCGTCAATCTTGTATCGTAATTGCCGTAAGTGAGGGTGTCCCTGAACTAGGTTTTAGTACATGTCACCTCCGACATTTTCCTAGTGTGACGTGTGTTTTCCTTTGATCCTCCAAGTCGAGGTGATAGCCGGCAGTTTTCTTTAGAAGGAGGTCGTGTCAACGATCCCCGAGTTTGGTGTGCGTGTTTGAGTTTGAGTTTTTAGTACAGGATTTGTTTTCTGTTGTAGCTCTTAGTTGAGTTCTAGCGTTTTTTTTTTTGTGTGTGCAGGCGGCAGGTCCCGCGCGGCACGACCGGAGCGGTTGGAGGAGGAGGAGTATTATTCGCGCGGCGGGGAGCGTTACACGCGCTACCCTCGCGAGTACAGCGACTACGCGCACGAGTACCCGTCGCACGCGCACGCGCACAGCGGCGGCGCCATCGGGGGAGGCGCCGCGCACGCCGACGCCTACGAGCGCTCGTACGGACACGACTACACCCGCGACTCGTACTCGCGGGACGAATATGGGAGGGAATACGCTCGAGATGACCGTGACCGTCGACGTGATCGCGACCCTCCCGATGACTACGGGCCGTCTCGCCGCGCCCTTAACGCTGTGTAGCGACTCTAGCCGCGTCATGCTGCCTTGTGCCGCGTCACATCGCGTGTGGCCGCGCCGCGTCACGCGCCGTGCCGCAAGCCGCGTCACGTCGCGACTTGACGCGCCGCGTCACATCGCGTGTTGTCGCTCCGCACCACTCGCCGCCGCTCGCCACGAGCGGCGACTGTATAAATTTTGCATATACTGATCGGGAGAGAGGAGATAAGTTTAGTACCGTTAGATATTATCCGTTTCCCATTTTTTGAACATACTCTGTAATTATATTGCATCGTCTGTACTTCATTGTTGCAATCATTTGTAAATAAAATACTTTATATCGATGACAGAGTTTTCTTTGTATAATTATACACCAATTTGTTATTTACACAAATAAGCATACGCCAATTGCATGTATTCGTACGTTACCTATTGGTACTATAACCAAACCTCAATATTCTACAATCCTTTTTATGTACGCTGTTAATATAAGACTGACTTGACTTTATAAAACTACTACGCCATCCATGCAGGATGGCGTAGTTTATGCGGTCACCTCGCCGCTTACTACTACGCTGAGTATTATGGGTCCAATCCACACATAGGACGACACTTTGTGTGATTCACAAATTGTTGTGCTGAGTCTGGGTGTTCTTTGTGTCCGTTTAATGCATGTTTGTAAAAAAAAGATACTATATTCTATATAAGAGAACTCGTATTGCAAAATTTTACAAACAACTACACCCGCATGCATTGCATTTAAGCACTTTTGGTTTTAGACTACATATAAATAAACATTAATGTATTTCTGTTTTTTTTAATATAGAAAACATATGTACGTATTAACACCCAAACTTTTAACATAATTCTTTAGATGAAGTAAACTGCGTCAGATATGGATAAGGGTTTAAAGAAAACTTCTCATTTAAAAAAACATATTGCAGTTTATTTAGACGTATTTGAAGTAAATTCGATGACGTACAATATGCCAACATGGCCGCCACAATTTGCCGCCACGATTTGCCGCCATAAATAAATTAAACATTAAATCGCATAACAGTTATTAAATAGATTTAATTCTTTATAATATCGCTCGTGTGCCTCTTTGGTGTCTACTAGCTAAAAATACGATAATTATTTACATTCTTTTTCATTAAATTTCATTTTTATAGTAACAACATTTGATTTAGCACTAGACTAACACTATAGGAAAAATGTTATATGTTTGATTAAGACTATCGTAATTCGTGTTTTTCTTTTACATAATCTGCAAAAATCCAATTAGTTAAATAGTCAAAAAATTACTGTAGGTAATAACAATCCCCTTGTTGACAAACTCTTTAGAGATTATGATAAATGAAGACGGTATTAAAACTTAAAACTTGTGAATATTATTTTCAGTAACATTTAAAGTTGATTTTATTTAATTTGATGTTGTTGTTGAATAGTTTATTCATTATTCGTGCTTTCTCTATTAATAACATGCTGTCCCTGTCTATGACTAATTATAACTGCCTCATTAGGTTCATTACAAAGATATTGCAACAACTCTTTGGTTTCACACTCACTCAGTACCCAAACTATTTCAAACCTCAGCAAAATTATTGAAAAAAAAAACTTGAAGCTTTAATAGAAAAACAATAGAGTCTACAATAAATAATTGTTACAGTGACGCAAAGGATCAAAAACAATCACAGCAAACAAATCCATCAGTATTAATTTTTTCAATGTTTTTCGATCTGTCACTAGCGTTTGAATAAGTTGGGTTCAAAGATCACACCAAATACCTCAACAAACCTTAATCCATATTTACACTTTACACAAAACTGGACCATATTTACACTTCACAAGAGTCGCTTTCTCACTATCCTTTGGTACCTCTTATAGCTTTTAGCCCGGCACCGGTATTGACTAAACCTGGCTAAGACCACGGCTAGTCAGATGTAGAGATAGTCGTTCTTCGTTTCTCTACAGTAACTGATGCTTGGAAACTTATATACTGGACTATATCTTCTCTTTTCACCTTCCGCTTCTAACGAAAGAGCTGATAATGCTCTAGAAGGTTCCTCATCCTCTGAAGTTGTTTCTTCAGGGGCGGGGAGGGTTCTAGGTGGTAGGGGCGGTGCACGAGGATTCCTCCGTACTCTGAAGTGACAATCAGTGTCTGAGGGCCACGCTCGCTGCACTGTGAGGGGTAGGTCATCAGCATGAAGTTTTCTCTCATACTCCTGAGAAGGACTGACCTGGAAAAGCAACGGAATTGACTATTACAGATTGAAAATATTTAACACAGTGCTTGCCGGATACTTTGTTAGCTTCGTTTTTGCCGGTCACGAAAATTTAATGGAAAGTTAGAATTCAAATATTAGTAGCTGTGTGTTTGATTATGTATTTGCCGTGTTGGTAAGCTTTTTATCTAAGTATTCTGTGTTCTATATCCTTTAGTTCAAACTATGCTTAGTATGAATCCAGAGAACCTTATATAACTATTGTATTTGTGACTCTTACCATCTCTCATTCTCTTATCTCTTACCATCGGGTGACCCGTCTGCTCGCCAGCCCCCTATTTCATAAGAAAATAATGCCCCTTGAAAACCGGAGGATATCTTACCTCATAAAGCGAGAAGCGTTCAACCCCTTCGGTGGAATCGTAGCAGTGCAGCAAAATAGCCAGCACTTCATCCACTGTAGTCCTCTCACTGGTGAGCAGGCACTTGTACTGAGACGAAGACATTAACGCCGAGTCGTATATCTTGATTAAACCACCAGGACGCATCTGCAGGGAGAATCTGAAACAGATAACGTCGTTCTTGAGTTCTTTGAAGTAAGATCCGAAATTGTCAGTCGGAGATGGGTTTGCCTTGAATCTTTGAAATGAAAAATGAAACAGAACTGTCTATAGTTTCGCAGATGTCAATTAGCTCCGAAAATTCTTGATTAATGGATTTTCTAAATCCTATACAACTGCGCCCTAACCATACTAGTTTTTTTACTATTTAAAGTAAAATTTCTTTAAGTTTTAAAGCATTCAAAACTAACATGTTGTTTTTTTTATATTACAATTAAAATTAGAGTATTATAAAACTACTATTTTGAATTTCTGTATTACCATCAAAGAGATTATTATTAAAATATGACACGGACGTTGACTGCCAACTCAAATCAGTTCCTGAGTATCAAACGTCAAAACAGCATCTTGTCTAATTTATTTGACGGTGAAGATCGTCAATACAGCTACTTAAACGGCATATGCATAGCGTTTATCTTTTAGTTTTATTTGGTACAATACCACCACTTATCCATAATTTTAATCCACATGCACCTTGACACATTGACATGATATACACTCGCGTCTTCTATCCCCGAAGGGATAGACAAAACCTAAGCGCCCACATTTACGACTCTTCGATTCACGGGACCAAATGTTTGTATCATCAGCAAATATTTGTTTCGGAGTTTGGGTGTTTTTATGTATTCTATCAGTCAAACTATATTTCATAATACAAGCTCTGCTTAGTTTGAAACTGTGTGTTGTAGTTGTGTCAGATGTCTCAAATATTATTATTATTTTGACGACTACAACTTTAGCCCCACTTAGGACATAGGACTGCCATCAACTGCAATTTTTCTAAATACATATTTATATTACAGACAAGTCACACCCAGACACACAAAAATGATCGTGCTCATCATACAATACTTATACTGAGTGGGAATCGAACCCACGACCTCTGGTTTAGCAGTCGGGATCGTTAACGACGCATAGCATTGATGAAAATTAAGGAACAAAACTGATCCGAAAAATTGATAAAAACCGTCTTTGAAGAGTACATCGTGTTAAAATTTGAGCTCACAAATCCACTTAAAATTTTATATGAATATATATTTTGACATGTCTTCCAGCAATATTACATTAACACCTCATCTCGAACGGCGCATGTTAAAGTCCCTAACAAGCTTAAATAAAATTAACTTTTCAAACGCTCATGAACTGTGTTCATAGTTACGTTTTACAATAAACTCATAGTACTCCAGACTGTCAACAGAGAGTAACACGATACATATGGTCAATAAGTGGAACTTGGTTTTTATAATTTTTATTGGACGACGAGAATAGCTCGTGCCGGAAGACGGGACAGAAGTGGATCTTTTTCTGTTTCAGCCGCGGTGGTCCCGGTGTTGAACATCCAAAAATTGTTTGACCGATGTTAGGTGATTTTCATTTATTTTGTTGTTTGTTGTTGTGATAGTGATGTTGTTGTGCTGATTTGTTGATTCGTAAGTGGATTTGGGTTTATGAATTATGTTATTTTTTTAATTAGGTAGTCTTGTTTGTCTATTAATGTATAGTAATTTTTCGAGCTTATTTTGAGTAACTATAGTATTAATAACGGCGCACTTTCCTAACGTATCGTCGTGTAATCTAAGTTTTACTTTTACTTAGATTCATTTCATTTCATTTTCTTTAAAAAAGACAACTCCCGCATTAGGAATAAATCCTGTGTCGCGGGGGACTTTACAAACATACATGAAACGGACACAAAGAACACCCAGACTCAGAACAACAATTTGTGGATCACACAAAGTGTCGTCCCATGTGGGTTTTGAACCCACAACACTCGGCGTAGTAGGAAGCGGCGTGGCGACCGCTTAAACCACTACGCCATCCGTGCAGTCTTGCATATATCCGTGCATATATGTGTATAAAGAAATAGTTTGGGGACAATTTTATAAACAATCTTTAGTTTTTTTATGATATCATTCCTGTCTTTAATAGTATCTGTATACTAAAGTTATTTTGTCAAATCTAAACTACTCTATAATTTAAAGCCGTATCTGAAATTGGTTTGTTATTATTTACCTTATTTAATTGTTAAAATTATAAATTTAAAATACGAAAATTCATGGTTATTGCCTCAAAAATGTATTATTACGCATCAGAATATCTAAATATGGTATGTTAACAGGTAATTATTTAGTCAGGATGCACCTGTCTGCACATAGGGTTGTTTTTAGTCCCGGTATTGAAGGGTCTTCTTACTTTTATGACTTACTTTAAAGGGCGCACAGGAAATTCTGTTGAGGGGTGGGTCTTTGTAGTGTTTCATTTTTAAGTATAATATCACTTTTATGTAATTGTCAAAAAAGGCCAGCACAAATAAATATGAAATGAAATTCAGAGAGTTTTTAAAAATGGTTGTTTTTTGTTTTTTATTTTCTTATGTTAAAAAATTTATTTAAAGTAGATGATTTAAAAATAGCAATCTATAGTCAGAAGATATACAATAACAACCCACATAAGATGAATACTTTTAACATTTATCTTAAAATACAAATAGAGTTTCCTTATAACCGAAATAGGCAAATAGGAATTATTAATAATCAAGTAAACTATATTGAACCTAATGTATAATGAAATAACAAATATCTCTATCTCTATCTACTCTTCATCGTCTATCTAAGTCATGCTCTATGTAAGTCATCTTGAATGATTCAGACTTTGTTGATCGTAAGTATTTTAAACCTCCTTTCTAAGGAGAGGCCTATGTCCAGCAGTGGGCTATTATAGGCTGTTGATGTGATGTGATTTGAAGTACTTTAAAAAGGTAAACAAATTTCACTAAACAATAAACTACTGCTCGGAGAATCAATGATCATTGGTGCTTTTAAATAAAGCATTGGCACCTGAATTTGAGTGGTTTATACCCACTGAAGAGTTAGTTAGTTCTCAGGTTATTTCAGATTCGCTGAATACCATCAAATGATAGTATCGTCACCCAAACCTAAGTATGTTAAGAAATGTAGGCTAAAATTGACTACTGAAATTTCTTTAATTATTTATTCCGACAAGGAAAAAGTTACCTTCGGCCTAAACTAGATTAAAGACAATAAGGTCGCAAAACAACACTCACTTGGAATATCCTTTCGGATGGCAAGCCTGGAGTGCAGCTGGTCTTGCATCATCATCCAACACCAACGTTGTCCTCAACCCAGCTGCTCTGACCCTGACTTCCATGCTCAGGTAGAACAGCCTGGGGTCTCTGTGCCGCATCCTGAACTTGCCCAACAGGGTAGATACTACCTCCTGGGCGCGGGTCCCCCACGTGACTGATAAGGTCTTGTATTCGATGTCCGGACGAAGACAACGCGCATACACTTTGATAGTTGTCTGTGAACAAAGATAATAATACATCAGTTATGTATACTATTACCGTTTTTAAGGTGGGAGGCACGTTTGTCCCTTCTGGTCCGGAGTCTTCTGAGAGTGTTACATAGGCTCTATTTAGGCACAAACAAAGTCATAACTTGTACTGTCGACCGGACGGCGTAGTGGTTTGTGTAACGGACTGCTATTCCAAAGGTAGCGGGTTCGATTCCCGCTCAAGTCAAACATTTGTGTGCTTGAACATTTAATGTTTGATTTGGTCTGAGTGTTTCTATATATAATAAGTATGTATTTATAACAGTTGTCTAGTACCCATACTACAAGGTCTGCTTAGTTTGGGACTAGATGGCGTTGTGTGAATGTGGTACAATATTTATTATAATATATTATTATATTACTGTAGGTTAAAAAACAGAATGAAAGATACTCGTAATTAGATACTTTTGTTTTTGTGTAAATATATACCATTTTCTAGATATTTATTTTTATATTATACATTTTTTTACGGTGTAGCGGTTAGTGACTCTGACTGTTAAGCCGGCGGTCGTGGGTTCTATTCCCACCCAGGACAAATATTGTGTGATGAGCACGGTCATTTGTTCTGTGTCTGGGTGTAATTTATCTAAAATATTGAAGTATGTTTATCAGCCTGGTAACCATAGTACAGGCTCTGCCTAGTTTGGGATCAGAGGGCCGTGTGTGAGATGTGTGAGATATATTATTATTATTTAGCTACAAAAATTCTAATGGATGGTCTGAAATCAGTCCCAGGATCTCGAAGTTACATAATCGGTACTAAATTAAAACCAACTGATTAAATTAATCTACGCACAATTACTTTGAAATAGCAGGTCCACCTGGAATTTTCCAGGTGGACCTGCTATTTCAATCTAATTTGTTTATTTTTAAAATCTTTTTTAGTGAAAATTTCATGAAATAACAGCAAAAGAAGGTTAATTCAATATCGCTTTCTAGTATTTTATAATGCTAAACAACTTTCTATAATTATTTAAGTATATCATATCTTCTTGCTCCACTGCTGGACATAGGCCTCTCCCATTGCACGCCACTTAGATCGATTTTGGGCTGCAGTGGACTGCGATAGGCTGATAATGATATCTTCTTGCTCTGTTCTAAGGAGAGGCCTATGTCCAGCTGCAGACTATTAAAGACTGTTTATGATGACATAATATCATTATAATAATAATGAGAGACATCTTAAAGACTAGGCAGAACCTTTGCTATGGTAACCAGGCTGCTGATTAATATACTTAAACACGTCGTACACATATATGTTATAGATAAAGTATAAAACAAATAATCGTGCGCATCGTGTGGCGACGGATTAAGAAAAGGGAGTGGCACCACTCCTAGCCTACTAAGGGAGCAAACTACGCAGGACAACAGCACTGCAAAGAGAAGCAAAACTTGACACAAACCCTATACCAACCTGTCTGGTCAACGTGGTATAGTAGGCCAATACCTCCTTTCGAAGAAGTCTCTTCTTCGAAAGGAGGTATGTCCAGCAGTGATGATGTGACTATTAAAGGCCGTTGATGATTGATGATAACATTATAATTCATCATTATTTCATTTTGTTATTTTTTGTTTTTTGCTGTTACGTTTTAGTAATATTCGTTTTCAAACTGACGTTTAGGTTTAAGGATATTACTGATAAAGTTCAAATTCTAGGTCATACATGTTTCATGCTTTGATAACTTGTGCAAATATATCAAACTTCCGTTCTTAAGGAAATGTCAATATTTAAAATTTGCCAAAATATATTGGGTTATTGATCAAATATTTAATATTTACAGAGACAACGGGGGTATAGAGGTTTCGTACTTGAAATTTACATACATTTGAGATGAAAATTGTTGCTACTTTTAAATAATAATCATATGAAAATCATTTAGTTTTTAGGCACTTTGATGTCATGTGTAAATCACATCAGAACTTAAGTAAAGAAAAAAAAAGTGTTACGCGTAATCATAATAATCACAGTCGCAGTGATCTTGTAAATTAGTCATAGCTGTGATTCACTTAAATGATATGATTTATCACATATGGTTGTGATTTTATTCCATCTCATTTTGTATGTAGGTATGTAATACATACAAAATGTGGTAATTTACAACTAAACACAGAACAAACATCGTGCTCAATATACAATATTTGTCCTGGGTGGGAATAGAACCTACTACCTCTGGCCTTGCAGGCAAGATCACTAACCACTATACTACAACCTGAAAATATAGTTACAACAAATCCTATTTTATCGTTTACTATTACCGTTTGACCAAAATTTTATTACTTCAATTGTACGTGTTAAAAAAAAATAAAAAAATATAGCAACTAAAAATAAATTTCCACAATTATACAATTAAATCTTAAATATATTTTACAAAAGAGGTAACAATAAAATTGGACGCTGCACCAAAAATTCTAGACAATAGCTTTTTTCAGATCGCAATTTAAATTTCGAACAGCACAGACATATTTGATCCTTGAATATTAATATTTGACTTAGTTATTGTGAAGTAACAGAAAGTCTCAAGAAATTTACAAAACCTGAACCTCAAGTACAGTTAACAACCAATAAAATTCTTATTCCGCGTAACAGAATGCAGAGATTGCAGAATATCCATTTCCCACGCACAATTGTATTCCCACAACACAATCAACATTAATCACACAAAACGCGAAATACACACAAATTTATGAAATGGCCTCCACAAAATTTGAAAATATTCAAATATGGAACTCACGTGTATATTATGTGGATGGAGCGCTAAACGCATGCGCGGTGCGGGCACTGGCGTCACGGTAGCCATGACGTGCGCACGAGACGAAGCGCGAACGATACTGAGCCCGCAATGTCCCTGGCTACGCCTCGCTACAGGGGGTTCTATTACAATACCATCTGTCGTACACTTCCTGATTTTATCGATTGTACAGGATACAGATTGCTACATTTTTTTATCGGACAGGGTTACAATGAATCTCTTCATTATAAAGGATGTGATTATTTTTGAGGATGTCCTTTGAACGTGAGGCATTTCGAGTTCAAAAGCTTGAAGTTACAATGTGATGATGGATTTATAGGTATTTAAAAAAAAAATCACCAACTTCATAATGAATTGTAATAAACCGTTTTCTTCTTATCTTAATTTTCCTTACTTGAGATTGATATTTTTCACCCGAGCCTTTTTTCCCATACTACGGGGTCGGCTTTAAGTATTTTTTAGGCGGAGCGACTGCAGTCTGACCTCCTCGACCTAGGTACTTGGTGATGTTCTGTAGAAAGACTATTGTCGAGCTTTTTAGGACTCCAAATACTCGTAACGATTGCCACAGATGTTCGAAAGGCAACCGAAAGGCAATCATCAAACGGGAAATATTCAAAATAAAACCAGAATTTTCCAAATCAGTCTATAAATGACGGAGCTCGGAACTGCTGAGGTAAAAAACATTAAAACAATGCAACCGAATCAAAAACCTTTTTTTATCGGTCATAAATAGAATATTTTTGGTAGCCTTGTAATTAAAAAAAAACACTTTGTGTGCTTTCAAAAATTGCATACCATTTGAGTAATTAATGCACACAATCATGGTAATGGAACCTGATCAGTTTGGCGCCGGAAACTGCCCCCCTACCGGAGGGTAAACTGACACCTGTTCTCCCACCGTGACGGAAACCAATCTACTTCCATTGACAGTAGGTATTGAATGGGTATATATATTGCGTATTAGCGTGTGAAATGTTTGTGCCAAAGGACATATACAGGGCTTCACCATTTTGTGTTCACTATGTTGTGTTCAAATTTTTACCATCTCTCAACAATAATCTTTTGTTCTCGATGTGTATATCTGTGTGAACCTAAAACTACATATTTATTTAAAATGATAATGGTATAAAAGGGAACATGGGGGGGGGGCGGGAACACAGGAGGGGGTCATCTACACATCTAGATGACCCGAGGTACTTCGGGTTACCAGGGATTTCCTTTCTTAGATGCACCTGGTTCCCCAGCAGGCCCCGGCCCCGAGACGAGGTCGGTTAAAGTCCGACATAACCACCCCACGACCTTTTTTCTGTACTCTATGGTCACATCAACTTAAGTCGCCAGCATTTTAGTACAAAGATGATGTTATAACCACTATGTTCTGATTAAGATTCAATCAATTAACTGAAGAAAAATGAAGCAAAAAAGTAACAGAACTTTTGTGTAGACTGTCCCAACAAAACCTAAAAATATCGTTTAGAAAATATTCCAAAAAACAATATAAAAATAAACCCGAGACGTTCAATTATTTTATTATTCAGATTCTCAGTATTGTAATAAATTCTGTATGCAGATATCAATACGCCTATTGAAGCAAAATTAACATACAATGGTAATAAAATGCCCATGAAATCAATAGACTATTGAATCTGATAGAATTTATGCAACCGTCAAAGAAAGCACCGGTAAAAGTGGTCATCTCTCGTTTGATAATCAATGAACTTGAACCGGTGACTGGACAAAGGAAACGCAAAAAGTGCTACCGGACGGCCGAAGAATGCGGTACTGGCCGGTCGAACCCTGCCACGATTGTAATGCTGACGGACAAAACTTGAACTATAAAATTGCCTTGGTAAATTGAATGCTTTGTACGACAACTAGCGCCGGTGCTGTTGCATAGTTAACTTGGAAGAGGATGGTGTTAGAAAATCTTATGATGAAAAGTTTTGTGCTTAAGATTGGACATCCTTGTGACAAAGTTGGATATGATTTGTCCGCTCATGTCTATGCTAATTACCTCCTGTTAGAGAACTAGAGAATTAATATGAAAAAGCCGATTTGCTCTTACAAAAGAAAATGTTTAGTGTTGCTTGCACCAGCATTATTTTCAAGAATAATGATTGGATCTGTTTTCTATAAAGTACCTACACGTACTTTAGTCAATTTTATCGTGATTACCATTAAGTTCAACAATTACATTAAGCACACATGTAATTGCTTTTTTTAGCCGACCGTAAAAACGGTAAATTAGGTTTTGTGTGTTATCTAAGTATTCCATCATTTACGAAAGGATTTAAAAATTCTTTTTCTATTTGGGAGGATACACTTTTTGTTAATTTGAAGAAAAAAATCCACTTCTGAAGGTGAAAAAGGGTTTACTACAATTCATCAGACATTTATTACAATGTAGGCTGTTTCAAGTCAATAACAATTTAAAAAAGCTAATTATTTAGGCTAAAATTAAAGTAACTATATTGAACACGAACGGCGAGGAGCAACTACCGCGCGTACCAAGGGTGCAAGAAGCGAGTAATAAGTTCTGCTATGTGATCATAGATGGCGTTACACTATAGTTAGTTTTTGTGACCATGATTGATGTTCCACTCTGCCTCTATATTTAAGAATGTTCATCATGTAATGCGGGTTTAAAATGAATTATGGTATTTTAATTGTCTGTCAATTTAAAAAGATTAAATAGTAACATTTTACGGCCTGTTTAGTTGTTAATACAATTGAGAAATGTGCTTCATACAATGTGGTCTTACTTATTCTTGGTTTAAAGATACTTAATCAATAAAATATTTGGATTAGTTGTGACGAGAAAGTTTTTAAAAGGAAGAAAGAGATGTTTTTTAAAGAGAAGATGAAGAGAATTTTCGTTCAAACTTTCAAACACATTTCAAAATTATGGATTAATTTATACGTTCGTACTGTCTAATCAAAAATTTAATTTTACCATACTAGAAAACGATTAACAATAATTTCTTACAAATAGAAGGAGATAAATATGAAGTACCATTAAAGTAACGGTATTTCTCTATTAGCTCCTGTTTCTATAAATAACCTCACAAATATACTAAAAATAAATAAATCTTGACGACATTTTATCAGCATCATTTCCATCACCACACATCTGTTGTCTTCATTTCAAGGCTAGCCGCTTGCCTGACGCCTAGCCAGATCCTTTGTAATCGTTTGCAAAGAAGTTTAAGGAAGAAGATAAAATGGAACGAGAGAAACAGAGAGTACCGCATGTCTTGGATAGAAGTTGAGATTGAGAATGTATCAGATCAGAGGTCGGGATTGCGTCCGCGTGGTCCGTATTCCTTTTTCATGGAAAGTGAATACCATCACCCCCCTCCCCTCCCCGGATTAAAGGGGGGATGGGGTTTACGCAGGAAACTTGGTGAAAAGCTACGAAAGTATTGCTCAACACCGGTTTTTTGTGAGGTCTTGGAATCACTCCGGACGAGGGACCCAGTTGCGCTAAGTGACCTGTTATTAAAGAGACACCCTTTTTTTTGAACGACGGCTGGTATTGTCGCCGACGTCCTCTACGTTTGGGATCGGCCCTCTCCCGATCCCGTTCAGCGGTCTCTTTCTGGAGCATTACAGCTTCATTCATCATTGCTAAATATAACACAATTTTTTAACTTTATAATATATTACAAAATAACTACAATCTATTTGATAAAACAAGTATTACGAATGCAATAGTTCGTGACATGCGCAAAGGCAACACGTGCTGTGACAATAACTGCCCACGCGCAGCTGTATAATGTTAACACCTCCGTTGTCGTACGTAACTTGTAGGCGTTGACAACGGTAGCCTTTGTAAATGTTTTAACATATGGTTACTAGTGTAAACTTATTATAAACTTGTGTAAACTTAATATTTAACAGCGGGGGAGCAATTTTTCGGCACGTATTAGCCGGCTCGACTGGAGTAATACGATGGCCTGACAGGAAACCGGAGTTAAGCAATAAAATTCTCTCATTGCTTTTCGCTCAGTGAGTGAATTTATCGGACACCCAAACCTCCCTCCTCCCCTCAAACACACAATAATTTTTGGGATAGAAGGGGGGTCAACTATTGGTGAACCCCACACGCTAATTTTTAAAGTGGAAGGGGAGTGGTCCACTTTAGGTGACCCCCACACTATAATTTTTGGGATAGAAAGGGTAGGGATCGGCTATAGGTGACCCCCACCATACTAATTTTTGAGGGAAGGGAGAAAGTTAAGAAAAGTATTTAAAGATCGGCAACTCCCTGGAATTGCAGGAATCTATGAGCAATAGTCACTAAACATTAGGTGAATCTTCCGCTCGTTTGGCTACATACCATAAAAAAATCTTGTTAATTACCATCTGTATCAACATTAAAATTGGACTACTTGTTTGAACCTTTAACGGTACATAATTGTGTACAGTAGTAGCTACAAATCTAATATAAGACCCAAATTGGAACGACATTCAAGAAGATAATACCGTTACGAGTAATTCAGCTGTAATCATAGTTTTACTTGTGGAATTCTATGTGCTCGATAAATACGGAACAATTCCTACCACGACCATTTGTTTGTTGTTACGCATTTAAGCCTTAACTTCTCTACCGATCATCATGTCATTTCGCATTCATATTATCATGAGTACAGCAAAAAACATAGAGATCTCTCATGCCGAAACAATGGACTGTTCTCGAGTTGAAGAGATCTAAAGTAGCAGAAGCGATATCGCAGAAAACAACTAGTCACAGAACTTCACAGTTTGCTCTCAACTGTAAAAAAGCATTATTTATCTAGTTTTAGTAGATTAACTCGACGGGTTAAATTGACTACTTAAATCGAAATATGTATTACAAAAACACACAAGCTAATCAGCTGATCAAAAATAATAAAATTGTCCCGTTTTTGAAACATTTTTTATTGATGCTCGGCTCCTATTGGTGGCACCGTGATGGTATATAGCCTATAGCGTTCCTTGATAAAAGGGCTATCCAACACTAGAAGAATTTTTCAATTTGAACCAGTAGTTCCTGAGATTATTTA